TGGAGCGCTGGTGGAAGGTGCCGCTGGCCGGGGAGGGCCGCAAGCCGCGCCTGCACCGGCGACACCGCGTCTACAGGCTGGTGGAGGACACGAAACACCGGCCCAAAGAAAACCTGGAGCTGATCCTCACGCAGTCGGTGGACGGTAGGGCCCTTCCTCTCTCTCCGGCAGGTTCCGTTCGGCATCAGCTTTTTACCGCCCCTGCCCCTCCGCTGTCTGCGGCCCTTTCCGAGTTCGTGGGAAACAGCGGCTCCGTATTGGAAAAGAGGAGGCCGTAAAAAGCCCTGTGAATGTGACACTGGCCCCCTGCATGGGCAGTGAGAACAGGAATGCGGGAGAGGGCGGCAATGTCTGCTTTGTTCAAGGAATATCACGTTTCTAACCCAAGCCCTTAAAGAAACGAATTAGAAGTCTCCTAGATGTTTCTAGTGAATGTTAATATCTCTTCTGGAAGAACAAGAGCTGTGAGCGGAAAAGAAGGGCTTCTTTCTTTAATCATGTCTTTCTTTAGGGACTCCTAGACACTTCTGATCCAGTGTCTCTTTTCCCCTTGGCAGAACTTGGAGTCCGGGGAGACTTGGTCTCGGTGAAGAAATCTGTGGGTCGCAATCGACTGCTCCCTCAAGGACTGGCTGTATACCCATCCCCAGAAAACAAGAAGTTGTTTGAAGAGGAGAAATTGGTGAGCTCAGAGGAAAGCAGAGGGACTTGGAGGAATAAAACCTTAAAACGTCTTCTAGTGAATTCCTTCCCTTTGATATTTAATGTGAAAGCGAAGTAGAGAGTAGAACAGGAATCCAAAAGCCCAGCCTACGTCCAGCGTAGAAAGCGTTTGTTATTTACTGTGGGCTCTTTTTTTTTCCTTCTGTCTTTAACTTTCTTTTCTAGCTGAGACAAGAAGGAAAATTAGAGAAGATCCAGACCCGGGCAGGCGAGGCGGTGAGTACAAACAAGTCTTTATATACCGGTCACCTGCGGGCATCACCAGCCTCTTCCTGAGAGACCCATTTCCTTGAAGTCTCCTGGTTGCAGACGCAGGATGGGGGAAGGAATGCGTGGCTGCCAGACCTGGTGTTGAGACCTGAGAGTTCCTGATCTGTAAAGTGCCCTGGTTTACTGAGTGAGGCCCCAACCAGGGCACAGAAGGACCCACGGAAAAGTTAGAGATGAGGGGTATTTACAGACGAGTCGGAGAAAACAGACACAGGAGAAAGTGATCAGTAAACTCAGGCAGTAAATTATAAGTGACATGGACCAAAAGGGATTAGGGTGATTGGAAAGGGCCATTTTTCAGATGAGACTGAACTAGGCCTGATGGGATTAGTAAGATTTGGATAGGCCAGGAGGGAGGGAAAGGTATTCTTAAGAGAGAAAAGGTGTAGAGAGTTAGAGCATATTTTTACATAGCAAGTAGATGAGTCTAGCTAAAGCAGGGACTTTTTTATAGTGTAGTATTAGGAAACATGGCTGGAAAGGGGGTTGGGGCAGGATTTACAAAACATCTCGAATCCTTGGCTGATGGATTTATATCTCATTCTGTAACCAGGAAGGAATCCGTGGCGTGGGGTGGGTGGGATCGACTGCCAGAAGAATTAGGTTAAAACAGTCCATGAAAGTCAGGACACTGAGATACCAGTGGCCTCTAACTTTGATGAACTTAACGCTGACATGGCCTGTTTCTGTGATTAGGGACAGGCAGGTGTAGGTGACATTCTCCTGTGCAGTGTCTTTCCACAGTGTCAGCCTGGAAATAGAACGTTCTGTGTCTCCCATTCATCTTCGTGCAGTGTCTTTCCACAGTGTCAGCCTGGAAATAGTAAGAATGTTCTGTGTCTCCCATTCATCTTTTCCCCTGTCTTCACTGTGAAGCAGAAATTGTGCCCTGAGCTCTCGGACCTGTGCCTCTTGCTAACATGCTCCCTCTCTGATTCCATCTCTCACCTGTCCCCTGTCTGTAATTCCTCTCAGACAGTGAAATTTCTGAGAAGCTGTCACCTGGAGGTGGGGATGAGGAACAACATCAAATGGGAGCTAAACCCTGAAATAGTAGCCCGCCACTTCCTTAAAAACGTGAGTGTTCCCAGACACGGTGCCCCTGAGGGCGGAAGGTCCCCCCAAGAAGGCCCGGCTGGACCCCTCCGTCAGGGATGATGAGGTGTGATCATCCATGGAGTTAAGGACGGTTCTTGGTTGGTTTGCGGGGCTGTGGGATGGGCGTGGCTAAGGGCGGTCACATGGAATCTGAAGTGACAGGAAAAGATGGTGGTATCATTTATTTCCTCCCTAGCTAGGGAAAACCTGGGGAAGTGTGATTCACTGGAGAATTTTTCTTTTGTGAGCATCGTAATTTTGTCCCCAACTCCCGTTTCTCTTTGTGACTTCATCCCCCTTTCTGAGAAATGAGGACTGGATTTCTCTGCCACCATCTGGAGGTCTGTGCCCTCGCATAGGATCAACTCCCACTTTTATTCAGCTCTACAGGAAATTCTAGAATGTTCTTTATGAGGCAGCCATGTAAACAGAGCTCCTTTTGGCTGTGATTTTTTGCAGCTTGGTGTTGTGGTCGCCCCACATGCTTTAAAGTTACCCGAAGAGGCCATCACACGGTGGGGCGAGTACTGGTGTGAGGTGACGGTGAGTGTCCCACACACTGTCCCCTCTTTCTGACTGGGTGAGAAGGAAGGTGAAAAGCCGGGATGGGGGGGTATTAGCTCTTATCTGCCCAGCTGACTGTGGATTCCTGTTGCTTTGTGTGCAGGTCAATGGGCTGGACACTGTGAGGGTACCTATGTCCGTGGTGAACTTTGAGAGGCCCAAGACCAAAAGATACAAGTACTGGTTAGCCCAGCAAGCTGCCCGGGGAATGGCCCCCACCAGCCCCCAGACGCTCTGAAGCCTCTCCCCCTCCAAAGCAGCGAAGCAGGATCCGAGACAGTGAAGCAAAGATGGGCCAGCTCTGACCAAGCGGGGAGTTCTCTGAGCATAGGGGGACATCGGGGTAACTGCGTGTGCATGTCGAATTCCCCATATTCGCTCTCCGTCTTCGATGGTTACACATCCGGCCTTTGGGGGGCAGTCTCTAACTGCGTGTGCATGTCGAATTCCCCATATTCGCTGTCTCCGTCTTCGATGGTTACACATCCGGCCTTTTGGGGGCAGTCTTACGCAAGGAGTGCCAGGCTGTGGCTTCGATGAGCTGAAAAGTAAGAGTGAAACAGTCTAGATCCTACGTCTTCTTCCTCCGTGGAATTCACCAGAACAAACGAAGAGCCTCCATTGTCTCTAGTACTTGGCTCGTTCTCATCCAGACTGAACATTTGTACCTCAAGAAGAAATAAGAGGTTGTGTTCTTTTTAGGTGTTTACTGGGCTTGAGTAGACTGGTAGCAGGACATCGAGAGCAATGTCCCCTGGAGCCTCTGGGGTTTACTGCTAAAAGGGAAGGAAGAAGGCATTTGCGGCCCGCGTCCCACGGTTACTGTGGGCAAATTACAAAACAAGCTGTTATGTCTTTGGTCTTAAAACGTATTAGGTGTATTGCTAAAATTACTACGAATAAACAGTGGATTCTGCTTTTCTAAGGTGATCTGAATGAATTAAGGCCTAAGGGGAGTTGGGGAAAATGAAGCTGAGATGCAGGAAGCTTAGGAAGGGAACTTCTGTTTTGTTTCTTGAACTAGCTCCTGAGATTTTGCAAAAGAAGATGCCTTGGTTTCCAGACCAGAGCTGAGAGGGGCTGGCCGTTCAGTAGCCAAGGAACAGGTGTCCTGATCAGCGATGAGGGAAGTAGATAGTATGGCGTAGGTTCAAGGTCCATTAGCAGGAAAAATACCCAGCTGTCGACAGGTGAATTATGACGGAGTCACTCAGCTATGAGGTCACGCAGCTCAGGAGGGTAAGGGTGGCCACTGGCTCTTGCAGTTCTTACTGGGAGCGCAGAGGGCCCGGTGTCTCATCTGCTCACTTAGCCCTGCAGGCCAGTTAAGCGCCTTTGGTCACCCGTCCGCGTGAGGCCATGCCAGCCAAGAGGCTGGTCACCAGTAGTTGCACTGATCACTGTTCCCAGCCTCACGGTTGCCAGGACGGCAAAGCTCAAGTCTAGCCCTGCTATTGTTTAAAGTTGGCCATTTCGATGGTCCTATCCTTGTTGAAATAGCTCATCTAACACAGCGACTCCACACCACCACCGTCACCATCACGAAGTGCTGACCTTGTTGGAACGGGCACAGTATTCCACACAGTTAATCTCAAAATGTTGAAATACCTGCCATGGGGTGAGCCTGGTGAGGCGGACCGAGTGGGAGCCTTGCGTGCGGGAAGCGTGTTGGGGAGCCCCGGACCAACACCTGTGGCCGTGAATGCAGGGGGACTGGGTTGATGGCAGCCTCCACCCGGTCTGCACACGCAAGCTGGGAGAAGCCAGGATTGGGGCTGTTCGCTCTTACCTGCCCATCTGCTCTCAGCATTCCTGTTGCTTTGTGGGTCTGTGAACCCAGTGGATCCACTGAGCCAGGTCTGCACTTGTTACCCAGCCCCCATACCCTGCCTGTAACGGGGCCAGGATGATGTTTCCGATCCTTGGGTGTCCCTGCCAGATAGGACCCTGCATCTAACAGTTCTTGACATGGTTGTCTAGTCCTCTCTCTGATCTAGACTATGTAAACACATGGTCACAAGTCCCCGTGGGATGGGACTGGGGAATTTATTACCCCCTACCTTACACCTGTCACAGTGTCCCACGGTCCCTTCTCCTACGGACCTGAGCCTCTTTCTCCAGCTGTTCCCAGCTGAAAAACTGGCTCAAGAAGACTTCCACCTGCATCCATGAGGTACTCACAGCTGCAGAAATTGCCCTCCCGCTGTAATCAACAATAAAACCAGACACAATTATAAAATAATGTTGACAGACGCTGGAAAGCAGGTAGTGCAGGGCTTCGCTGAGAAAAAGGAAACGAGGTCAGCCCTCTGCCTCAGTTTACTGCCTGATGTGTTTTCCCGCGCTGTACGACAGGGGCAGTGCAGAGGGAGGACCCAAACAAAGCAGGCAGCCGCACTGAGTGGAAAAGACGCCGGAGAGGAGGGCCCGGCGGCTCCGGAGACGCGGGCGGCGCCTCTGCTGGGCCGCTGGACTCTGGTCTGCGCATGCGCGGGGCGGAACCCCACGGGGCCGGGCACGAGCCGCCCCGCGCGGCGGCCAAGCGACTCAGCGCTCGCGCCAGACGGCGTAGGTGGAGCTTCTAACACACAGGGCATCAGGCAGAGGCCTCGAAAGGACGTAGTGGACGTTAGAATAAAGGCTTCAATGGACCCGTCGCGCCAAGCCCGAAAGCACGGGTCAAACTGATGCAATCACCCCAGAACCAAGGCTGCCGCTTATTAAAGAAACAACAAAGTCCAGCAGAGAATGACACAGACTGCCCGGTGTTTGATCTCCAATCACATATTACCATAGAAAAGGAACGAAAAGAGACAGGACAATGTTACCCTAGAGAAACAGTCCCAGAAATGATAGCGGTGGTAGAATTAGTAGAACTTAGAACAGCTATACATATGCTTCGTACCAGTTAAGACTGTAAAGGCAAATGATATGAGAGAAATGGAACATAAGGAAGATTCGGATGGAACGTCTACGGATGAAAACTACAGCATGACATGAAATCTAATAGAACTGCTTTGCCGAAGATGGAGCAGATGTGCCTTTACCGTTCCTGATACAACTACAAACCCTGGAAGTTACGTATGACACGTAGGGAGCCTTGGGAAGGGGGAAAGCAGAAAGCAGACGGGCCGGGGACCTCAGGACCCGAGGAACAACACGGGTGCGGCCCTGGGCTTCCTTGCGGCCTCAGTTATCCCAGCCTTGGGGCTGAAGAAACCAGCAGCCTGGCAGGGCCAGCGGGGCGCAGGCCGAAAAAAGCCCAACACAAGCCTCCTCCTGCCGGGGAAGGGGGCAGCCAGCCCAGACAGGCCTTTCAGACAATAACCCCACTGTCACCGAACGCCACGGACACCGGCCCTACCCCACCCATGCCGGTCTCAGCGAGGAACCTCGACTTCCACCCTCGCAAGTTTACAAGTCACCCCAACATCCCTGCCAGGTAGGGAACCATGACTTGCCACCAGCCGGTAATGAGCCCTGCTCCCGCTCTGCTCTGCGGCGCAGCAGGGGACCTGGAACAAACGAGGCCCCTCCCGCCTTCCCACGGGGCGGCATTGAGGAGGCCCAGTGGGCTGTCACCATCACCCAGCAGCAAGAGGCCACGCCCACCACAGTCTCCCCACCCAGCTGTAGAGGAGCCCCTCCCCCCTCAGGGGTCGTGGAGGTGATGAGGTGAGGCGGGGAAACAAATTCTGCTTCCACCCAGCAGCAACAAAGTCCCGCCGCCCTCGCCACCTGCCTCCCCCCACCCCCCTCCCCACCCTGCCACAGCCGTGGCAGAGAAAGTGAAAACAGGTTTTAAATTAAGATCCAGAGTCTCATAACATAATACAAAAATGTCCCAGTTCCAATTTCTAAACTCTCATCATACCAAGAACTGATCTCAAACTGAATGAAAAAAGACAATCCATAGACGTCAGTACTGTGAGGACAAAGATATTAAAATGATCTGACAAAGATTTTTAAAGCCACCGTGATAGAAATGCTTCACTGAGCAATTAGGAACGTGCTTGAGCTAACTTAAAAAAATAGAAAGCTTCAGCAAATAGAAAATCTCGAAGAAATAGAAGCTATAAAGAACCAAATGGAAATGTTAGAACCATAAAATACAATAACCAAAATGGAAAGGTCAGTTTCTCAACAGCAGGATGAAGGGCAGAGGAAGAATTGGTTGAAAGTCACCCCATCGGAGCAGAGGAAATGCGCTGAGCCTCAGGGACCTGTCGGGCTGTAACAAGATTCCTGCCAGCGGCCAAGCTGCTCCCGGGGAGACGCTCTTACAAACAATGCTAGCTCCCCCGGAGCTCAGGCATGCCACCACGGAGCTCAGGCATGCCACCACGGCACAGGACACAGGACACAGCTCGGAGCAGCCCTCTCTCAGCTAGGAAAGCCAAGGCCCTCAGGGGCTGCTGAACAGAGCAGGAAACCAGACTTGCCCTTGGGCTTACTGACGGGGCTCCTGCAATTCCAATTCGCCTGTTAGCGTCCACGGGGCCACCTCCCTGTGTCCCCGCCCCCACCCCAGTGCCAGTCAGGCGCCCCTCTGTGCGCCCACAGCGGCTCAGATGTTTCTCTTATCATTTCACTGTGAAACCGTATTACAATTTCTGTGCATTCGTCTTCACTCCTTGAGACAGGAGTGCATCTTATTCCCCAAACTTTGCATCCTGAGTACGTAAATATACCCTAATATTTCTTGAATAAATGAGTAAGTAACTGAATAACTAAACGAATGAATAATCAGCCTTGCAAGGTTTCTTCCTTCCGTGGAGCTGACGACGCGGCCCTGCCAGCGCGCAGGCCCTGGGTTCGGTGACTTCCGAAGACACCGGCCAGTCCCGGAACCTGCACCTCCGCGAACGCGTCCCACTCCTAGCCCTGTCACTCGTCCTCCACGCAGGCCTGGAGCAGGCGTCCTCCGTCCTCCAGGGACATCACGAGCTGCGAGGCCAGGCCCAGGAGAGGGCAGCAGAGGCCCGCCCCGCTAGAAGGCCGCCCTGGGGTGACAACACCGACCAGGCTGCTCTCCCAGGAGCTCACCTGCCCGGGCCACAGACAACGAGGAGAAGAGAGCAGACAAGACAGTGTCAGACAGCGGCAGGTGTGACGAAAACGAAACCGATAGGGTAGAGGAAGGTGGGGGGTAAATACACAAGTGTCCGGGGGAGGCCACTGCAGCGGGGACCCTAGGAAAGGACTCTGAGATAGCGACACGCTGCCGAGGGCCCTGGTGGCCGGCTAAATACTCCCCTGCCCAGCCTCCCGTAAAGAGGGGACCCTGTCCCCGATTCCGGCGGGTGACGTGTTCGTGGAAGCTGGCAGAGTCCCTTCCTGGTCCCCCTGCTCCTCCTCCGACCGGAAGGGACTGCGAGGAAACCGCGGAGGCGGCCGCCACCTCCGGACTCGCCACGTGAGGAAAGCGAGGTCTCTGCTCAGCGGGGTTCTCGCCCCCTTTCGGTGAGCAGCATCTGGCTCGGGCCACCGATGTGGCAGGAGGGACCCAGGCAGCGGGCCGAGCCCCTCAGGTGAGGCCTGCCTTGGCACGCTTGAGGGAGAGAGAAAAGCCGGGTGCAGCGGGAGCACGGTCGCGATTGGGGGTCTTGCGAAGCTTCGCAGCCCATGGAAGCCGTCTGGGTTAGTTACAGGGCATGGAAGACCGCTGGGGGCTTTAGACAGGAGAGTGACCTAGTCTGGTGCAGGTTGAAGACCGAGTCGGGACGCAGGTGGGCAGACGCTGCCTGGGGGCTGACTTGGCTGTTCCCACTCTCCTTCTCTCTCGCCGCCTTCCGCTGGGGGGGTTCAAAGTCCCCTTCGCCGGTCTCTGCTGCACTTGGAGTGAACCACAGGCGCTGTGGTTCCTGGTTGATACAAGAAATGCATTTTGTCTACAATATATTTAATATATTGCAGGGAAACTTTCTTTCCTGATTCAAAGGGATGGACTCGCAGACAGTTGGCTGGCCCCCCTCCTGTCTCCCCACCTGGAGTACAAGAACGGCCCCTGGGGAAGCAGAGGCCCCCCACAACTGTGAGGCCGCAGGCGAAGGCTGACAGTAAGGACGGACGCCTGGGCTGGGCAGTGGGCGTCATTAAACCGTGGCTCTTACAGGTGAGGGAAAATGAGCCCCTGTTCGCCTCGGCCACTATAAATTGGGTTTTGTGTCACATACGGCTAAGTACCTCTCAGCTCGCACGGTGGGCAGGCGGGGGCAGCAAGGAGGCTGCTAAGACGTGGGCGAAGCGGTACGGGTGACAGACGACAGTGGCGTGGACTATGGCGACTGTCTCCCTTCAGGTCCTCCGTGCTAGTCTGTCTCCTCCGATCTGTCTTCCGCTTTCTAAACACGAGTCTCCCCATCGACTCCTCTCGGCTTAACGTTCTTTGCTGGCTGTCCAGTGCCTACAGAGCTGACCTCTGCCCCACACGCAGTGCCAGTAAGACACACCCTAGTGACCATGTCCTGCGTGCCAAGCACGGCCCACACTTTATCCCCACCCCTGAGCGGCAGGTGCTACACACCTTCGTTGACGGTCAAGAAACTTAACGCCAAGGAAGCTAAGTGTCTAGGCCAAGACCATGCGTCCAGCCGTGGAGGGTCAGGGCCTGATCTCTGGTCTGATTTCAAAACGAATCAGATGTATTTTCCTCACTTGCCAAGAAGCCTGAAAGTGGGTGACTGCTGGGCGGTTCGGGTGCTCAAAGATGCCGTCGGGGCCTCTGAGGCTTCCGGGCTCCCTCTCGGCCACCTCAGGCACCGGCCCCTAGCCTCCTGCTCTTGCTTCATGGCCTAGAACGGCTGCTCGGCTCCAGACGTCACACTCGGGTCAAGCGGGGGGGAAGGGGAGAAAGGCTGCGCCAGCTTACTCTGCCACGGCCCCTCCTTTTTGTTATTGTGGTTATGAGAGCGAAGCTTTCTTAAGCCCCAGCACTTTCACCGGCGGCTCCTGGACACACGGCTGCCCGCAGCTGGGAGGAAGGCCGGGGGAGCGGGAGCATGACTGCTGCCCTCGACGACACCGGCGTTCTGCTAGCAGGGACGAACGGGGTAGCGAGGGCAAGCAGGTGACACACAGGGTCGCCAGCACCACCCCGCTCCTCCCCCCGACAGCCCACGCCTCTCCCCGCACCTGCCAGGCAAACCCCCCTGACCCAGACGCGCCGGAGTCTGTGGGGCCTCCCCTGCCTCCTCCAGCATCCCGTGCCGCCCATCAGGGCATCTAACGGTCTTCGCGACAACTGATTGATGCGAGTGCTCGCTCCTCTCCACGAACGAACGCTCCCTGACCATGTGCTCTATTCCAGACACGTGCCAGGGGGCGGGGACCCACCGTGAGTAGTTTGGTTACCGTCTGGGGTGAGGAGCGGCCCATCTCCCAGGCCATGGACCACTGCACGGCGGGCACCAGCTCTCCGCCCGACCCTCAGGGCCTGCACACCACCTCGCACACCACACAGGCGCCCTGGCCACGTGTCGAACGCGTTCTTTACCCAGGAAGGCTTGGAAATCTATTTTAAATGAGATGCATTTCTTGTATCGACCGGGGCCAACGCCCCAGCACGAGCCATTAGAGCGCGCGTGCCAGCTTCTCGAAGACGCTCAGCCGGCTGTGCTGCAGGCTGCTCCTCCCCGGAACGGTTCCGAGCGAGTCTGAGATGACACTTCGCAGCAGAGGTCCTCGGCGGGTGTGTTTTTTGCTGAAGGCTTCGTTAGGATTTTCTAAACAGGGACACCTCATCGTCAGAGCCACAGCTGACGAGGAAGCTGAAGGCACCTGAAATAACCCCTCAGCTCCACTCCGCCGCTCATTCTGTGTAGCCCCACTAGTTCTCTAAACGCCCTACTGTGTGTGTTGCCCTTTCCTGCACGTGACGGCAGCGGAGAACAAGACAGGCCGCGACGAGGGAACCACAGTCCCGGCTTTGGGCTGTGCTTCTGTTGCCACGGTGATGCTGATACGTGACACATGGACCACAGGTCCCTCATCCAGTGGAGGCCAGAGAGCCAGGGCAGACACAGGCACCGTCCATGCCTCCTGGCCTGGACGCCCTCCCCGAGGCCCACTGGTCCGTGTCCCGGCCTCTTAGCCGAGAACCGCGTGGACGGCGGCTTGTTCCTAAGACTCCTCAGGAACAAAGTCTACCCGCCGCGTGGCCCGTCCGGCTCACACTTCACCACACACGTGACCCTGAACGGGCTTTCTGGGTCTACTCTCCGGCCCGCTCCCTCTCATTACTGCTTCTGTGGAAATAAAAGTCAATCGTCACCTGCACACTCCACAGTTACCCAGGAGGTAAGATAAACAACAGAAGCCACCCTGAAGGTGCTACCTGGTCCGGAGCCACCACGACCAGCCGCAGGCCTCGGGGGCCCCCCTTGTTCTTTCGTAGGTCGTGGCTCAGGGAGTGGGTGGCCTGGAGGGGTGGGGAGCACCCAGCATTGAGACCCATGGGGAAACGGCCAGCCACCGAGAAACAGGCCTGCTGCCTCCCAGGCAGCAGCCTCCCGCCCAGGCCGTCTGCCCGCTTCTGAGAAGGAGGCCGAGAGCAGGAAGGTCGTTTTTAATGAGCACCTTCGAAAGCCTCGCAGCAGCAGGCGGCCCCAGGCAGCTCAGAAACCCCCACGGTGACAACAGCGCCCTCTTCCTCCCAGATGACCCTGCAAAACACAGCCAGTTCCGTGAAATCCGGAGTGTGCCTTTTTCCCACCTCACATAAAAAAATCCCAACCTTCGAAATCATTTCAGAAGCCAGCCTGCCTGTGACATGTGCCACAGCCCTGACGGCCCCGTGGTCTGAAGGGGAGGGGAGCAGACAAGCACCCGAGGCACAGCACAGCCAGGGTCACTGCCGGCGCCCTCTCCAGAAGCAGTGGGAAGGCTCCCCACCCCCCACGGGGACACGAGGAGGTCTGGGCACTGAGGGCCCCACCCCCACCTCCCGGTCGCTCTCTCCAGCCCCACCCAGCCCCGCTTCACCGGATGAAGACGGTGTCTCTTCCCGCGGGGAACATGCTAGACAAGCCCTGGGCCCCTCCTCCGTCCCCGATTCCCCAAAATAGTGTGGAAGGCAGCAGTCGCACGCAAGCTCTGGCGTCTCCGTCCGCTTCCGTTCACACCCGGGCCAGAAGCCCGTCTTGTTTTCGCAGGAGTGAGGAGCCTGCGTCTGCCAGTGAGGTGACACCCACCCAGGCTGGATCCCTTCTGGTCTCTCTCAGCAGCTGAGCATCATGATTTTGCTAATTAAGCCGCTTTCTTCTCCTTAATTAGCTGCAAGTGAATCTTCTTGGGAAGTGTTGGATCCGTGAAATAGTCTGGGATAAGAATCAGAAGGAAGAAATCATTGAAACCCAAGGGGAAAAGCCTGGGCGGGAGACACTGGCTCGGTCTGAGCTGGGCTGTGACTGGTGGCCCCGCTTTACAACGTAATGTGAGATGTCACCGAACATCCTGCAGTCACCGTCCCCCGCCTGAGCAGCTCGGAGCCCGCCAGCTGCAGCGTCCCCAGGAAAGGCTGGCACAGGACGGCGCCCCTCCCTGCACACTGCTGACGCACGGGGCCATCAGCGGGCTGAGGGGGCCTCTGGGTTTTCTGCTCCCAGCCCATCCCGGGGCCCAAATAAATGCCAAGTGCTATTTTTGTCTCGACTCGGCTTGCCAGCTCCTGCCTGAGATCGCACGCCCTCTCTGAGAACGTCCTCTCGGGGAGCCAGGCTCCCCACCCGGCGGAGTGTGAATCAGAGGCAGCAGCGTCTGCTGTGGCAGCAAAGACGCACTCGGGTTCAGCGAGAACCTCGGGGGCTACGGAGACTCAGGGAGCACGCGGCCCAGCCCCTCCCCGCTGAACGCCACTGACCTGAAGCCACCTGGCGGCCGGCCCCACTCCGCACTAACGACATAGACCCCCTGGCGGGGCCTGGGCCTCGGCCCTTTGAAGAGCTTCCCGTGACTCTCACGCAGCCAGGGCTGAGAAGCCGGCTAAAGATGCCTCGTGAAGAGCTGCCACTGTTCCTTCGGGAGTCCCCCCCGCCCCGAAACCCTTCATCCTCACGACTGGGGAGCAAAACATCTTCTGAAGACGCTCCCTCGGGGACATCAGGCGAGGAAGGACCCTCCGGCCTCGTCTGAGTCTAAACTCCCGATGATGCCCCTTGCGCTGGTTCATCAAATACCCCAGGGGACGCGGCCTCACTCACCTGAGGCGAACTCCCGGACGTTGTCTGGCCTTTGCAAAAACATCTCTCTGGAAAACAGTGAGGGTGAGGGCAGGGGAGGGAGCAGGCTGTGGGACAGGTGTGCTGCGGCCCAAGGAAACCGGTTGTTCATTCAACGAACAGGTTCACAGAGCCAGAGGCCGGGCCGGGGTGGGCAGCAGAGATGAGCGTGCAGCCTCGTCCTCGGGGGGCCCACGTGCGGTGGGACAGACACGCGACTCCGAACTCTTCTGGGTTGAACCATGAATTCCCACGGGGGTGGGTGGAGGGGAAACACACCAAAACGAAGCTGAGAAGGTGGACCGGTGGCCCCCAGGGCAGCAGACACTGTGATGGCACCGCAGCCCGGGTGCCGCCGGGAGCTGAAACCGTCTTCCCTCGAAGAGCGTTTACGGTTCGTAAAGAATGTCACAGATACTCTCCCCCTTTCCAACGACCCCCGTGAATCAGCAATGCCTGTGTCCTGTTTTACATATGAGGCTTGGTTAAGCCTTCAAAGGGTTGATCATGTGCCCAAGTTCATAAAGCGAGCGAGCCAGTAAATAAGAGACAGAGGGCCCGGGTCTGTGTCTCCAAGGCCACTGGCTCTCTGCGCGGTCCCCTGGCCACCGCTGCCCAGCCCGCCAGCCCGGGAGGCCTCGCCGGCCCAGGGGACCCCTGCTTCCCAAGCACTGAGAATTTTGCTGCTTCTTCAATCTGAGAGTTAGCACGACTCTGTGTAAATAACTGTACTCGGGATGAGGGACTGATTTTTTCTTTAAAGATAAAATGTAGCCCCACCTGAAAGAAATTACAGTCAAGCAATGAGATGAGTAAGTCCCCAAATGTCCAAAAGGCCACCTGAGGAGGTGCTCCAAGGGGGGTGTCAGCGCGCTGGGCGACCAGAGGAGAGCGGGACCCCGGAAATCTCCACCGAGCGCCTGGCGCCTGAGAGGACCGCGAGGTGCACGTGGCTTTCGGGGCAGGACAAGGGCTGAGGGACAAGCGCTTTCCAGACCCAGGAAAGCCGCAAGTGCCAAGATCTGGACACAGAACGACCCATGTTCTAGAGAAGGTGAACCCCTCGAGGGTAGGAACTGGCTCGTACCCACCTCTGTGCCCCCAGGGTCCCGAGGAGGGCGGGCGGTCCTCCACAAGGTCCACGGTCCGGCTGGAGTAGGGGCGTGAGCAGGGCCGGAAGGAGGCTCTGTTCTCGGTTCGGCTGTTAATGCTGGGATCCATATTTAGTTTTATAAGCTTTTTCCTGTTTTTAGTTTGTTTTGGGTTTTTGGCTCATGAATTTTATTTCTGTTTGTCGATAAGAAAGGGCCATAAAGGCCAGGCAGAGACAAGATGACAGGAACGCACAAATAAAGCCTGGCGGATGGCGCCCCTCCGTCCTTTTATTTCAGTGGACTATTCATAAATAAACAGCAATGGCGTGGCTCACCGAAGACTCCTCCAGCCCGGGAACGATTCGATCAGTGCTGCATTCGGGCAGATGCCTCTGCCTGGGTATTTACAAACACAGCTAATGGCGCCTAAAATTTCATCCTTTGCTATCACATCTCCAGCCTAAAACCTGAGCTCCCCAGGTGCCTAAAATAAGTCAGATTCCCTATTCTTTCCATTTTTCAGGTCCAAAGTTCAAGATATTAAGAGCGAAGACACTGCACATATGAGTATAGACAGGACAGCTGTGGCTGAACAGCCATAAATCACTAAGATTGGAAAACCCAAGTGGGACCTCCCCAACAAAACAGGCCGGAGCGTGCCGAGGTTTGGAGCGAGTCTAGAGCAGAGACCTGAGCCACAGGTGATTCTGCCTGGGATTCTGTCCCCTCTTCTCCCTTCCTCTGTCACCGGAAGGTCCATCTGTAGCATCCAGCACAGACAAGGGGCTGATCCTGTTCATCCTGATACCACCCAAAGGAAATAACAGTGACACCGAATGAAGCGAACCCTCAAACTGCAAACGCTCCCTCTCCCCTCCCACCTCCACCGCAGAGAAAGGCCTGGAAGGGGCCAGGAGGACTTCGTGGAGGGGAGTGTGGGGACGGACAGCAGGGGAAAAAGCCTGGCGGCTCACCTGGCCTGGGGAGGGGAGGTGCCCGGGGCTGTCCCGAGGCACCCAGGCACTGACGTCCAGCTCCCGGAAACTGTCCCTGGGCCACCCCTGACACGTGGCTGAAACTACGCCCACTCACTCACCACCCCCGAGGATTCTAATCCTTTCGTGTGTGAACAACGCAAAGGGTGATTTAATTCAGGCTTTTTACATCTATCTTCAAGCTCCCTGCTGGAAGCATTGCTAACGCAGATCCAGGCTGCCCAGGGCAGGTCGTCATCCTTCATTTCCGTTTGGAAGAAGAGGTGCAAGAAGCAATGGCCCGATCCCCAGAGCCGACTTCGACGGAGGACCCCCCCCTAAACTGACTTTTGCTCAAGCCTGACCTCTGGCCCCAGTAAAACCAACCTTCACAGGCAGGTGTTGGCTTTCTCCCTCTCCTTCTCCGCCTGCCCTCTGAGAACCTGCTGCCCCTGGGAGAAATGGCTCAAATATAAAGAACAGTGACACTCAGGAAAAACACGACGGCCTGGAAAAGAAGACACCCCTCCAGCTCCGCTTTTGACGAGAAGGAGGAGCCCCCACCCCACTCCTCAGCTCACAACCCCGCCGGATGGAGCGACCAGGGGTTCGGGTCCTGGATCGTCAACTTCTCCCCTCAAAGCTGAACTTTTCTCCCCTGTGAAATGGAAGTGATAACAAGCTATCTTTGCAGAGCCACTGGATCAGAAAACGTGCACGGGCGGTGCCATCGCTGCGTGGGCACCGGGGATGCAAATGGCTCCGCCGGCTGAGCGCTTCGGTCCAGGGCGGGAAATGGAAGGCAACACGGTGCGGTAAACGCTGACGTGGGAAACCAAGGCGGGGCCTGCAGATGGACGTCGTTCGTTTTTTAAAGCTTGCCTGCGGGTCTGTAGGTGAACGGTATTTTGCTGCTCCAAGATTTTCTTTCCCCTAAGTTCTTTGCCTTTCATCCCATTAGAAGATTCTTCAGTTCAGACAAACGCCACACTGCAAGGCAGCCCAGAAAGGGAAAACATGCCCCAGGCTCTGCCAGAAAGTGGCCTTGTCCCCCAGACACACAGGGGCGTGGCTCCCAACTCTGCGTCTTTCTAGAACTCCGTTCTCGGGCAGGGAAAGGCCGGACACCTGAATTTTTTCTAAGTTCTAGTGCTCTTGTTAAGTGCTTCTGATGATGAGTAATGTTCTACACCCAATGGCTACCTGGAGAGTCTCTCAAGGCCCAATTCCTTCTTCCAAGTGCATTAACGTATGACACTTATCCTTACAACTACAGCGAATAAATATTAATATTTTTAAGAATTCAGGCATAACTGAAAGAAATGTCTAGAGATAACTCAAGGAAACCCTAGGCGCCCCAAATCCCAGGGTTGGAAAAAAATTCAACCTGAGAACCGTACAGGGAGCAGTCGGAAGCGTTGAAAGGAGTCACGCACACTGAGGTATCGCCAAGATCTGGTCGAACCTTCCACGAGTAGCTCAAAGCCAGTCTGGAAGACCACCTACCTGAAGAAGCCACTTATGAGAAACTCCACTTCTTTGTGGGTCCTCAGGTACTTTTCATTGGCAATCCGAGTCTGAATCTGGAGGCAAAGAGCAAAGGTCACGCCCCATGAGGCGGACTTCAGAATTCCAGCCCTGGAGGTGCGAAGGGCTAGGGCGACGACGTGAGCATCCACCCGGGTCTTCTCCCAGGGTGTCTGAAGGGACAAGCCCTCTGTCTTCCCCCAGATCAGCATCTTCAAGCTGCTCCCTGCTCGGGCTCAAGGGCCTTAACTAAGGCCGGGTCTCCATCGTCGGCAAGTTCTGGTTTGTATCTCAGTTAACGTATCTGGAAGTGATTTCGGTGCATTTCTCTGCCCAGATCCCTGTTTTACTTCTTCCTGCACATTGAGGCTCCTGCAGCGGCTCTGTTCAGGGGTCTGCCGGGGGTCTCGTCCCGAGCCTTCCGCCCCTCTAACTGGAACAGGCTCCCTGCTCTCGGGGCCCTCCTCCCGTCCGGGCCCTGACCCTGGGGGCGCAGCCCTGTGCTGGGGACGGGGGCGGGGGCGGCGGCGCACCCACCTTGAGGTCGCGCAGCTGCTCCAGCTGCGCAGGGCTCAGCGCCCCAGGGTCCGACTCCAGCAGCCCGCCCTGCAGCGTCGCCATCTTGTCGCGGTCGTCAA